TAGCCTCAATTTCATGCTTGACTTCCGGTGTCCTTTAAAAACACGCCTATATCTCGAAAGCGACCCCACAATTTGACTTTACTACCTACCTAGCCTTATTCAGCAGGGTTCATTCTATCAAAACCCGCTATCAAACCTTTTCTGTGGTGAGAAGTAAACGAAACCATTTTTTTGTGGCCTGGCTCCTCGACTAATATGTATGTATGAATTAATGGAAGAGGTTTGACATTTGTAGCCATAGGACCATTACATAAAAACATCTTGTTGCTAGACTATAAGATTCAATTTTTCATGCTCTTAGAATTTTCTGACATTTGTGGACTTTTATTCACAGACAAAGGATGACTTTTTCTGCATCATGGCTTGAGATAATTCATGCATAAGTCCTTGCTAAGTAAACAAAAGACCCAAGTACTTTCCAATATTTCTCACAATATGTTTTATTAATTTAAAATCATCATTGTGAAATAATGTTTATCATAGCCTTCAAATATATTGAATAATCAACCTGGAACCAATGGAAAACTTCAAATTGTAAGATTAACAAGTTTTAATATAATATTATGTTTGCAGTTCCTACAGGCTGTGAAAAATCTTATCTCATATTACATTATATTTGTTTTAAATATTCATCATAGGATTTTAAGACCTTGACCAAATTTATGGTTTGTAAAACCTATTCTTTATAAAGTTACAAATAATATCTGCCTTATCCCTGCATTTATTTTGTTTTAATTGTTGTTTTATTGAGGCATAACTTCAATCTGAAAAGTACTTACTAATATTTTATGCTTGAAAGCTCTTATTATCTGTCTTGATTATTATTATAGAACATTGCCTGTAAAAATATTGCACTTTTAGTCTGTTGTTATTAATAGTTAAGTTTAGTAAGATTGCTTCAATATTTTTTTAATATTGTATTTGTTTATACTATGATCATAATAATAATAGTAATAATTATTTTTAATTGCATATGCATCAAATAACACCATTTATGTATGTTAATTTTGCCCACATCTAGATATTAAAACTTTTTTTGAAAGAGCTAATCGTGATTAATTCATGAGTAAGAAAGCATAATTTTTATAAGTGTGTTATTTATTGATGATTTATTTTCTTGCCTTGCAGATAACAGCCATTTTGCCTTGGGGAATGCATCATTTCAGGATTCTAAACAGTGTCATAACATAAAATGGATGATTCAGAGTCTCATAAGCAAATGGAATTAAACTCACCCCATCAAGATCCACTTCAGGTACTTAAAATTGCATCTAGAATTTGCAAAAGTATTGCCAAAATAAAACAGCATGCCAACTATTGTTAGGTAAAGTTGTTTTTCTGTTTTTTGGGACAAATATTGAATATATATTTTATTGGTTTTTGAGATGATTTGTCAAAGATCTGTGTTTCATTATACAGTATGTATAAATTATTATATTTTTAGAAAAATTTGAAGTGTTTTATTTTACTACTTTGGACAGTCTTTTATAAGATAAGTCATGAAGAACTATAAAATGCATGTAGTGTGGTAGCTTCTTTGTGTTTTACAGTTGTTTGTTTTCTATTATAGGCAGCTAATACTAATCTACTAAGCAGTCAAGACTTGTCATGTAGTGACCACAGCACATTTAAACCCTCCTTACCAGTTACAGACAGCACTAGTACTGCAACAGACCTGTCTCTGCCTGCATCTGACCCTATACCCAATATTGAACATAATATACTTCCAGTACAAGATGCACCAGTGTCATCAGAGGTACATGTATTATATTTTAATGTTCTCCCAGGTACTGGTAATGGCTCTTTATCAAAATGAAACTTCTTATCAAAACTTATGGTTATAACAAAATATAATGGAACATGAAATCAGTGAATAAAATCCTTACACTCTTGTACAAAAACTATGAGAAAAAGAGATTTTTGAAATTTATATAGAATATTTAATATTATTCAAATCTTGATATCCCCTATTACTTTACAGTGAACTATGAAACAGCAATGTCAAACATGCTCATTTGACATGTAAAATCAATGTTTTCTTGTGTATACTAAAATGTAGCAAGCTAGTCTCATCATCAATATCTTACTGTACAGGAGCCAGTTATAGAATCAAAACCACCAGAACCTGAGCAACCAAAAGAGGAACCTTTACCTGAAAATATGGGTAAGACAAGAGACTAGAAGGGACTTGGGAATGAGTATTAGATTACTGTTGTAGTGTGAAATAATAAGGGTTATTTTTAAGGCTGTTTGGTTAAGCATTCACTGAGTAATATTTTTTTAGTTGTAATTAGAAAGGAGAAAGGTTTGTGGTGATGCTGCTCTGATCATTATTTTTTGTTTTTATTGTTGCTGTTTTATGTCAAGCTATAATTATTCATCTCAAATTCATCAACTGTACTTTAGAGCAATGTAATCATTTGACTAAAACAAACTGAAATCTGTGTAGGGCAGCAATTCATTCTCTTCTTTCTCTTCCCCTTATATGAAGATTTTTGAACAATTGGGATGATCTAACCACTTAACAAAAAACTCTGATTAACTTCAGGCAGCCCGGCTGTAGATAACTCCATTTTACATTTTACTTACAGCAAAGTGCGAATTTTGCAGTCACATTGGGATAAGAGAATCATTCTTCTCAAAGTCAAAACGCTTCTGTAAAATGGAGTGTGCGAAACGATACTCTGCGTCCAATATCAAGAAAAAAGCTAAGGATAAACTTGGAACAACCAAGAAAAAACACAAACCAAGTGGTGCAACTACTGCAACAAGAAGTACAACAGCAAGTGTTGCTGCTGCTGTTGTTGGTAAAATAGCACCAACAGATGAACTTACAGTTGACACTTCACCACAGCAAATCACTCCACACAAGGTACAAAAACATTCTATAACTTGTACATCATTTTGGGTTGCTCATGACAAAATTTGGATTGCTTGTAGAGGTAATCAATATACAATTGTTTTTTCAGCATATCCAAGGTCTTGGAACACCTAGTGGACAAGCAAGAGAAGGTGAGACAATGTTTGCCATGGCTACATCTGGTAATCTATTTTTCTAATGAAATTGAAACTCTAATGGAATGCTTGACTGATTGATTGATTGATTGACTGATTGACTGTCTATTCGATTATTCATTCATTCATCTGTCAGTCCACTAATAACTGTCACTTGTTTGTAGTTGGTGAGAGCTGGCAAAACAAGACATTTGATTGGTCAGACTACCTCAAAAAGACTGCAGCGAAACCAGTTCCAGCATTCATGTTCAAACATGTAAGTATTCGTTTATGATTCTTCATTTCCAACATACCAACAAAGCTTCCTGGAACCCTGTCTCTCATCTAACCTGATATTTTGTTGTCTAATCATTTCCTGTGCATCCATAGGTTTGTATGAATCCGTGTTTAAAGGGTGTTCATGTTGGTATGAAAGTAGAAGTTGTGAATTGTGGTATGGATGTCATGGATGACAGTGAAGTGGCTTTCTGGGTTGCTACTGTCATGCAGCTCAGACAGCATCGAGTACTACTGCGATACGAGGGATACGAAGAAGACGAAACGGCAGATTTCTGGTTTGACTTGAGATCGCCTAATATCCACCCTGTGGGTTGGTGTGCCAAGAGAAATAAATTGCTAATACCCCCACCAGGTAAAGTACATTAGAGAACTATCCATTCTAGTACCAGGAGGTCCTACAACAACGAACAAAATCAAAAAATGGATTTCACAAAGTTATGTATTCATATCTCTACAGCAATTCGCGACCGATGCAGTAACTGGAGAGATTATCTATTTAAGTGTTTGTCTGGCGCCAAAACGTTTTCAGCAGAGTTCTTACAACAGGTAGGGAATCTTTTAACTATGGAATCCGGAATCTAGACTCTTGGAATCCGGAATCTAGACTCTTGGAATCCGGAACCGTCGGCAATGAGTCCTCTTCGCGGCCTCTCCTTTTGTCTGGCTAACTGTTACTCCCAAAAGAGAAAGGATAGAAATACCTACAAAAGAAGAGGCTACCAAGGAGACTTTCAAAACTGAGGAATGTTATATTCTATTTATTATTCATATATTCCACAGCTACAAGACCAACCGTTTAACCGATTTCAAAAGGGGATGAAGGTAGAAGTGGCTGACAGAAAGAACATGTATTCAATGTGTGTAGCTACTATCGTCGATGTTATCGGTGACAGATTAAGACTAAGATATGATGGATTAGAACCAGATGTTGCAGAAGACTTCTGGTGCCATTATCAATCATCTGAGATCCACCCTATAGGCTGGTCATCGCTTGTAGGACATACCTTACAACCTCCAATTGGTAAGAATCAAAACCGCTTTCAGTTTGTTTCAGGTCTTCTTATAATGTACTCTCTTTTAGGATGGAAACACAGTTTAAGCAAGTGGAATGAATTCCTCGCGGAAGATTTAGCAAACTCCGTTGATGCTCCTCAAGAATTTTTCGTCCAGGTACAATGATGATGATTAAGATAACGATGATGATGATGGTGATTACTTGATTAATTGTCTGTCTATCTAGTTTTCTTAAACTTACGTAGCCATTCCCTTTTTTATTTTCTGTTTGCAGTAACTTTATTACTTCATTTTATTACTTCATTTTTATATCTATTAATATTTTCATTTTTCACAGGATTCCACGGGCACGGCACCAGGCCCTCACGAATTCAAAGTGGGCATGAAATTTGAAGCAATCGATCCATTCAACCCTAGCCACATCGTAGTTGTAACTGTTATTAAAGCGTTACGGTTCAACTACTTCGTCCTCGGCGTTGATTCACTTGCAACATACTTTGTATGTCACGCAAATAGTCGAAACATCTTTCCTTGTGGTTGGGCCAAGTCCCAGTCGCTTCCGCTGACTCCACCTAGAGGTACTGTAGTAGTGTGTTGTATGACAGTAGAATCCGGTTATACTGTACCGAGAGGTACATAAACCACTCTACTTTAAAATTCATTAAAGTCCGATTAAACATTTGGATGAGATAAAACGAGAATAATACACTAAAGTCATTAAAAAAACATGTTAATAAATAAATCCTTCTCTAAACCTCTAAACGGTACAAATGAATGATTTAATTCTGTGACTAAAAACTTTTATTCGTTAGTCATTGAAAGCAATTAAACAACATTAACACGTGATCAGCTGGTACGTAAGTAATTCGAACGTTTGATCATGAGCTATAACCTGGTTCCACTGTTGATATCATCAAGTTTGTAACAGATTCTGACTTCCCTGATTAGTTTGGCGTTCACCATTTGTTTCAGACTACACACCAGAGACTTTTAGCTGGCCAGAGTATCTGGAAAAGACTGGCGGTATCGAAGCACCGGTACATCTATTTAAACAGGTGCGTCAGCTGTTGATTATTCACCATAACATGATTTCAGGATTTTCGTATTTCAGTTTTCTTACTGTAATGCAAATCAGGAAGATTTTTTTAATTTGGTAATAGCTGTCAAATTAATCTCTTCATTGTAAAATTGTTAAGGGTCGATTCATACGTCGTTTTATCGTCGCTTCGAATCAAATACGTCATAGGTCGATCCAAATATGGACGAAAGAATAAGAAAAGGTCTGACATATAATTGCATTTCGTAGCACTATATCTTTCCACTTTTTTTCTTTTTTAACGTATTTCCTAGTTCTACGCGGTCTATCGACTATCATTTTTGGAAGAAAGGTCGTCATGACGATAGCTCGACGTATGAATCAGCGTAATAATCGAAACGTTCAAGGGTGTAATTTCTATTTGGTTATGACATACGAACACGGCTTGTTTACGTTGTTGGTAGGGCTATATCTCTTGTTTTTTTTTTGTTTTTGTTTTTTCCCATATTCTTTCATGAATTATATGTATTTAAATTTTTATATCCCTTTTTTGTCTCTCTCTCTTCTTGTAAATATTAATAGTATCTAAATTGTAAATAGCTTTTTCATATTTTTATTTAGATATATAGATAAGTATTTGTATTAAGAGTGTGCTCAGGGCCCCTATTGATAGCAGTGCCCCTCGGGGCTTTGAAAGGGTTACCCTGAGCCTTATAATAAATAAAGGTTTCTATCTATCTATCTATCTATTGAGAAAAGAGATTGCCGCACTAACCTAGGGGCACCCTAACTCAGCTTCTAAGTGATGGTCTGGTCAATGTGTTTATTAATTAATCAAGCATCGCATAACCAGATAACGCTACTTCAACCATCAGCAATTCGTAAAACCTTCTGTTTTCATCAAAGCTCTTTAGAATCCATCATTGTAGTTTATTATTTTTTACCAAATCCGCGGTATCTTTAATCGATTTTTGTGAACATGGTGCAGCTGTTTGATCAGCGTGAAAGATAACATGATTAAGATCTCTCTTTTTGATCGACATTCTTTATTTTCTTTTATTGCTGTTTTGTCTGTCTGTTTCTCTATCTATGTCCCTTACTCTCTCTTTACCTGTTGCGGTTTTTTTTTTTACTTGTTTGTCTGTTTTTGTCCTATTTTGTTGGGTGTTCTAATCTCTGTTTCTTGTACTTAATTGTTGCAATTGTGTTTGTTTTTTTTTACTTAAATTATTTCATCTTTACAGGAAAGACGGATTAATGGATTCCGAATAGGCATGAAACTAGAAGCAGTAGACCTTCGTGAGCCCGCACTAGTGTGTCCAGCTACAGTGACTGACGTCAAAGGCCCATTGCTAAGGATACACTTCGATGGCTGGGATGATTCGTACGATCAGCTTGTAGATATGGATTCGCTGGATATCTTCCCTGTTAGTTATTGTCTGTCTGTCGGACATCCACTCCAACCCCCAGGGTAAGTGTTACTTACCTATGCTTAGTGGTGTTTGTTACTAACTACGGTTTGGTGTTTAATTCAGACCAATGCCTGACAAGTACGTTGAGCGGTACGGACTTGAATTAGAAGGCATAAAGCAAGCACCTAAGAGAAAATCTCCAACTATGGAAGATAAAGGAGCTAAAAAGAAAGGTAAGTGACAATATAAAATAGTAGCCCGTCTAGTTAGCATGGCGAGTAAACACGTGATGGTACTTTCCTGGAAAATATGACGACGCAAAACAAAATATGAGCATGCTCACACATAGCAACTAAAAGCACCGTGGAAATGATGCTGGTGAGTGATTGGTATTTCCTAGAGGACGTAAAATAAAGTCATGCTATAAAACGTTAAATGAGACCTTCGAAACAAATGAAGACTATTTTGTTTGTGGTTAATTGGTCATTACCACCTGTCTTTGCTGCATACCAATGTAGCGATAGGAGACTAGTGAGCCCTGAAGTAGTATCACATACTGGATAGTAATGTTGCTTATAATTTGTTTAGCCAAATGTGTCTATCCTCAAGAAACTGTGTATTTCAACCGAAAGTGTTTTCCTGGTCCGTACTTGAACCGTGAACTGGTTAAAAATCTACCTGACTGTGCTCGAGGCTCAATAGTGGGTCCAGAAAAGCACAATGTCATGAGAATATGTATGCAGAATTTAGTGTCGTCCGCTGTTAACCCAAAACAGGTTAGTCCTTTATCCTATTATATTTGTTGTTGTCATTCATTGTTTTTTATTTCACCTTGACTGGCTGGTCGAATGCACTGGCAATTCAGCCATAAAAAAGTCATTGCGAGCCCAAGGCAAAGATTGCTGCGGGACATATTGTCTCCAACGAAAGAACGACATGAAAATGTAGTTATATAACCTGCGAAGCAACAATCATGAGTGCATTGTATATTTTTTATTACAATCGCACTACAGTTGTATGACTGTATCGAAAGCATATACATACCTTCAGTGTTAATACGTTTCTTTGCAATTAGTTTGTTATTACTCATTATTTTCACTGTGCCGTATTCAACCATAACAAGCTTGCCCATCTATTCGTTTTCGAAGGTTCTCGAATTATTCTCTCGTGAATTTTACCAAAATAAAAAGAATAAAGACCTTCAGCTCGGTGGTACCGTGTGTATTGAGATGAAGAGTAAGAATGGCAAGCGTATCATGAGACGAGTCCGTGTCGCCAACAAGGCAGAGCATCTTTTCACATATTTAAACCGTGTCTGTCAAGTACTTCACTGTTGTCCAGAGATCGTCAGCGCTACGCGATATCCCATGGGTTACTGCAGTCAACTTTGCATGAGCAGATGTAAGTATTCCAGTATCTCATTTAGCCATGTTATACTTACCAGCTTCGGAACTGTTTCCAATATAAACTGGCATTCTTTTCGAGGTGCTGTTGGGCTTTTTTAATTGAGGAAATTGTTTTTTCATGAGGATATTGAATTAGTTTTGAAGTTCAAACTCTTTTTCATCATTGTATTTCAATGACAGCTAAAGAAAATGGGGTGTCGTCAACAAGCGATGGTCGACGCGAAGTGGAAATCAACACTCCCCCAAAACCTCAAGTCGAAGAGACCGATGTCCCACCCGCAGATGAACAGACGGTTGGTGAAGAGGGAGAGTTACTGCCGCTTCCAATAAAGGGAGAAGGAAAAGACTCACCGCATGAGGCAATGGTAACATCTACAAGTAATATACCAGGAGTTCAGGAACAGGAATCAGACGCTGCCTCGGTATTACTCTATCAAAGCTGTAACAATGGAAAGGATCCCCGTACCTGGAATATGCAGGACGTCGCCAACTTTATGTTGTCTATAGGTTGTTCAAACTATGCAGAGGCCTTCATCAAAGAGGTATTTAAACAGAGTCGAAATGGTTCTCTTTTCTTGGGTTTGCTAACTCATCGTCTGCCTTTGATTTCCCACAATAATCGTTATCTTTATTCTGTCAGGAAATTGATGGCAAAGCGTTGCTTCTTCTTACGCAAGAAATGTTGGAATCATTAACAGAAAACAAGCTGGGCCCAATGACTAAGATCCACAATGCTGTTCGGGCTTTAAAGCAGTCGTGGGGGATCTGACGTCACGACCAGCTTTAATTGATATGAATTATTTCGTGAATTTTGCATGATATACTCTCCAAAATATTCCTACTAAATTATCACTACAATATGCCTCTGGAAACAGTTTAAGTTCATTTTCGTAATGTAGAATGTAGTTAGATTTCTATTTCAGATATTTCTTTTATTGCTCATACGCCTATTGGACACACCAGTACGTATCCACTAGTGAAACTTCCCACTGCTTCACATATCCACTAGTATACCTAATTTGAAAACACAATAAAATGCTTTGTGAACACCTTTAAAGTGCGGACATCTTCAAATAATATCAAATAATATGAAATCAGAGCGGTCCTTATAAAACATCACACAGATTATAAAGAAATCTGCCTTGATGCTTGATAACGTATTCTTTGAATACAGAATGTAGACTATAGCACGTTAAGCTACACTCTTTCCTGGCTACTTTACGTCAGTATAACACACCCCTAGATGGAATGAAATCTGGCCAGCAATGCATCAATGTATGATTTGTTTGTATCAAGCAAGACTGGATGTCTTTGTAAGTCAAGAAAGGTCCAGTATAAAGAACTAACATCACGATTCTGTACAGTAACTTTCAGAAAGGTTTTCAAACCACGTAGAATATGTATTTATGGTCAAAAAATATATAATGGTATTGAAAAAAACCGTATATACCCGGGGACTTGAAAAAACCTGTATATACCCGGAACTATATATATATAAAATTACGTGACTTGAACAACTTCTTCGAGACCTGCTGGTAATGGCTTATCTTGTTCTGTTGGAAAGAATTTAAATCTAGGATATCATTTTTGTAAATATCATCCCACCACCCATCCATCCATAGCACGCAAACATTCAAAGAATCTTTATTTCCACCCACTAAAATATACAAGAATGTACAGCTTGTTGTGGTTTTCACTTTACCTTGAGATGTCTTTGTAAGACTAATAGTGAATAGGCGTTTCATGGTCAAATGGAATAGACTCTGTAGCAACTCCTTTATCAGTAGACCATTGCACAACCCATGACAAGACCTTTACTCTTCGCGGACTCACAAAGAGGGTTTGGCTTTTTAGCTGCCATGGTTGTGGAATGTCTATTTTTGTACGATGTAGAGTTAAGGCACCTGAACGAGGATAATATTGATATTTATAAGTAGATTCTACAAAAACAAATACTTCCTATCAGCTTATAAACAACAAAAAACTAAATTATATACAGTAAGATATGATTTCTGTCTATGTCATTCAGTTTTATCTGGAAAGCACTCAAAAAAAGTAAAAGTACCAATGTTATTGTACCTTTGTAATATTTATGAATATTAAGTATATGCTTTTGAAGGGTTAAGTGCCATAACTCTATATCATGTTTTTTGTAGCCTTATAGCCAGTGAAATAACAAGTATATATATTAAAATACCTAATATAGGAGCTGAAAACATGTATAGATGCCGCTGTATCAACTCGCCGGCACTGTTTTAAGCACTGTAAGCTTTCTATATCCCAGACTAAAATGTTTGCAAAGGTCGGACTTGTATTTATTGCTGTAATTAAAGTTCAATACTCTGTATGTATAACAAAATAAAAGGTCGAAAATCGTCATCCTTACAATTTATGTGGGTTAATTATAAAACGGATTTTGTTCTTGTTTTGTTGTTGTTGTTGTTGTTGTTTTTTTTTTGTTTTTTTTTTTTTTTTTTTGCGTGAGTGCCGGTGTGCAGCTTATAGTGCTAAACTCTTTTGTTGCCTTTTGGATCCTTTTGGAGAAGTTGCAACGGCACACTCGGTAGTTCGTCTGGCGCTCTCGTCTCTCGATATTTATAATATCCTATTTCACCAAATATCACTGATGGGCAATTACAGAAAGTTCTCTGTCTCGACCATGCTTGTAAATAATAACCAACTATAGTAGTGGTTTGTCTCGTTTGTCAGTTTGGATCTTCTTAAAAGGGGTTGGTTGGGAATGCAACGTCATGGAAGAGCCTCTCTAGGGAATGATGTAAACTGTTTTCTTTTATCTCAAGAGTGAAGAGTAAAATTGTCTGTTGGAAGAGCTGAGTACATTTCGGCCTGTCTTACCATTAATGGGTATTTGTACACATACACTTATTTTATTAAATTACATTATTTAAATACATTTTATTAAAAGCGTCGCGTATTTCTTGTAAGAGTTAGTTACCTTAATTCTGCTATTGTCTGTTTATAGAATTAGTGCAATGTTTTATAAAGTGTTTTTTTTATTCTTATCTAATGCAAAGGTCCAACTTCTGTCCAATCAGCGTTCAGCTGCAATACTGAATTCAGATTTTTCGATATTGATTTTGGGCGTTCCATGAAGATCATTTTGATTTATTATTATTATTATTATTATTATTAAATTATTTATCCTTTTAGTAATGATTTCGTAATATAAACATACGGTCCAATGTAGTCCCTAAATTAGGCATTGATATAGTACTTTCATCATGTTTAATGAAGGGTGGTCCGACTTATTAACCTTTCAAGTACACTACTTTAGTTAACTATGATGTTTTGGTCACGAAATTGAACCATATTCACGCGATACTTGCTCTGTATCTCATTGCAACCATTTACAGAAACTTCATTGCATGGTGCACAGGACATTGTATATCCTTCATTCAAGTCATTGTGAGAAACTTCATTCCATGGTGTACAAGACATTGTATATCCTTCATTTAAGTCATTGTGAGATAGTTCCAATTTTTATTGAAATCACTGTCAGTATCAACTCGTAATCTCATTGGTCGACACAAGACGTTTCACTAGCAAACATCAGAGACGTTTTTAAAAGCCCTCATTAATATGACGTGTCACTCATTTTTAGTAAAAAGCAGAAAAATAAGACAATTTACATTAAATTGCCACATGAGATATTATAGTTGTCCCGGCTTGCTAAAGTACATGTGTGTAGCGCACTTTATTTATGGAATGGTTTGTCATGAGTTGGTTACATGCATGGTGGCCTAAGTGCATTCTGAAAATGTGCTTTAAGTTTTGCATCTATCGTCATATTGAAGGAGAGGTATTTAGACCGGTTCGAATATAATACTTGATGCCTCTTCAAGGAGAAGTAATAAGATTTTAAACACGTAGTTTTCTTAAACGACATGTCTACGTCATTGGTGTCTATGGTATGAAATAATTGCCCACGTTTCCTATATAAAGGTGGACACACTATTCAGCGTTAAACTATTCCCGTGTATGTCCGCCTTGAAGGAACAAAGTTTCCTAAGAGAAGGAATACGATTTCTTTGAAGCAAACAAAACCTTGGGTCCTTTTCAAAGTTGAATTTCATCACATTCCAAGTGAAGGACGTTTCCATCCATGCTGGGTGTGCATTACATCATTGCTGATGGTTTCTTATTAGTTTGCAGCTTTATATTTTTCTTTTGTTTTGGGGTTAGAATATCTGCTGCCAAGATTTCACTTCTAAGTACAGTAATGCACATGCTCAAACGATGGTCAATTTCTTTGAGTAAAATGTTAGTTGAAGTATTTTTAATTGAATCGATGAACAAAAATTCATTTTTATACTTCACGGAGGAACATCCAACGTATAGGTGATTTACTATCATTTCTTCGTTTTAGAATTTATCATTCTACTCATCTTTCTGTTCAAATAAAAAGGTACTAACATTTTTATAAGAATCCCTTTTTTCCGAAATACAATACACTCAGTCACACTTTTGGCTACTCGTAACTAAAGAATATGCTGTGATGATGCAGATGCTAAACCTGCCTTTCGTGCGCTAAACTAAACCAACGCAGGAAACGATAAAGTATATTTTCCTTTGTAAAAGGTGTACGTGACTCCAATATCGACAGACTTCCCAGGATCTTTTTATTCCCATGGAAAACAATAGACTTAGGAATCTTTTGATGTTACATCTTACTTACAGGAACAGGAAAATATGAAATGATTGTTCTCAAATTAGTCCTTGAATCTTTTAATTGGCGGAAAAGATTGACACTGACCTCAAAAATACCTCTACTTTTCTCATCGTCAATATAACATTATTACATAAAGATGTTTCGCTAAGTTTCGTTCCAAAAAATGACGTCATTCATGGATCTCGAAATGAAGCCATGACGAACTGTTTGGGTTATATTTTTCCATCATTTAAGGCATTAGACAAGCAGTTGAAAATATACGATCATGAGTAGCTTAACAATTGTGAAAACACTATTGCATTAGTGTATAATTGTGAAATAGTTATAGTCACGGCTCAGTGATTTCACGATCACGCGATCCTAATAAGGGCATTAATTCTCATTGTCAGATTCACTTTTGTAGCCATTTACGTTGAAGTTTTGTTTAAATTCGTGAAGAATTGAAGGTCTGTTTTGTATGATATTGTTTAGTCAAACTTGTATTTCATATTGACAGTCCCTTAAAATTTCACATCATCGGTCATGATATCGACTCGCGGGGTATACAGGTATTAAACCTACCCGTACCCTTAAATACGGGTAAACTAGCTCTTATACCGGAGAAAAGGGTAGGTTACCGGGTAGACACACAGATCATAACATTATTAGTTTGCGAATCCATTGTCTTCTTGTGCATATTAATTGCGTGGATATATAAACATTCTCACCTTCCCGTATACTCGTAGAGCGAAACGTACGGTGTATCTTGAAAGCCATACAGTCCGTCAGTTGCCAAGCTACGAGATCATTATGGACTACAATAGCTGGTAAAATTAGAAACCTTGAAAAAGTGAATGAGATATTTGGATGGGTGGATGGAAAGTAGATACACGAATACTATTTAGTATTATTGGAATCATACAGTTTTATTCCATTGGAAAAATTACACTCCAGACAATAGACAAACATTTGGAGTGTTTTTTTCCTCTTTAAGCAACTTAACACAACTTAAATCCCGTGAATACCTTTGAGGTTGAACTGAGGTTTAACGTCGTCATGTCTCGTCTTCTAAGGAAGCGCCTTAATCAAAATGGTACATTTCTGGAAAGACACAATGCACTTCCTAAAATACAGGAAGCGGGAGTACGCCATCTTGTCTCCCCATCTTATATCCAACTATTGTTAATACAGCAATAGTTGCGTGTCTTTGTGGTATGTTTTTGCGCATCGTGTTTTCTAATAAGAATGCTCTGAACGCATCTGATTCCACGTCTCTGAACTATTTCCATTGACCTCCCTTCACATGCGAAGCACATTTCTGGCATTTTCATCGGTCATGTGCTTGAACAACACATAACAATTCGAAATTCTAGCTTCTGCTTACTTTAAGAAAACGTTTTGTTTTGTCTCTGGTGTGTTTTTGTTACTCCAAAAGGGTTTTTATCTCCGTGACTTTACAGATAACCCCAGGATATGAATATTCACTCAAGTACAAAGGTTTTTCTCTGTAAAAACCTCAGTAACATAGATTAAGAGACTGTTTTTAGTGTAAACAGAGTTAAATAGGTATCACAGTGTGATTGTACGTGTATCCCCTACAATAAAATACAGCCCCCAACCGCTGCCGTTACAAGCTTGCATAAAAACCTATAACTCATAAACAATATTGCTAGATCAATCGTGATAACTCGATCCTAATCCACCTTCCATCGCATCAACCAATTCTGTGAATGTCAATCGTATTAGGTCTTCAGTTACGTTTGAATACCTTGACGAAATGACGGCCATGCGTCGAGTCCGTTATCGTAAATCAAGTCACGCGATCACTTCCACATCACGCGACCATCGCTGATCAAAACCGATGCATAGATTCCTTTTTTGCACGAGAAAAAATGTAACTAAAAGCGCTCTGATCATTTATTATCTGCAGTAATAGTAAAATAAGTCGATTTGTTTTTATCGACTTACTCCTATTCTTAGCAAGGATATTTTGCCAAGGATCAGAGGCCGACTGTAGATACAGTCTAATATAATACGCTGTTGGAATCTTTTGTGAAATTTTATCGTACACGCAAACTGGTTGACCGTTATAAGCATCAACAATTCAACAACTTAGTGACCGATCTTTAACAAATCAAATCTTTTACTAAATGGATTAACAATACGATAATAATGTACAACTATTTAGTGGTATATTATATCCTATTTACAATGTACAAAAGATCTTCTAGTACAGGGATTATTACTGTTACATTATCGTTAACACTTCACTTAATTCGTAAATGAATACATGTGGGAAAATAGTCTCATTATAAAGATTGTTCACTCTCAGGCTCTTTTGCGATCCGCTAATCTTTTTCTGTACTGAAAAAGCCAGTTTCTAACATCTGTGGTTTTATACAGAGTTGGACCTAGTCCTCCTGCGTATTGCACTTTACCACTTTGAATGACCGCAAGTCTTATTGGTAGTGCCCCATAGGCTTTGTTTGCAGTATTTTCCATCGTATCCACCATCAGTAAAGAGTTGGAGTGAACATGACCACTTTGGAGTAAGGTTCTGGCTGCGTTACAGCGCTCCTGCTGATTGCGATGTTGTACGATTTCGAAGTTCCCCTGCAAGCAATACAAAAATTTAACCTCTGGTCTTATTTTTTGCTTGACTAAAGATCATCTCAAAGGTATGCCGTTTGGATATCAAAATCCCTTCTCGAAACGACTGCATCTTCAGATTCCCAGATGCTAATCATTATCGGTATCACGTACTTACTTTTAGTCGCCATTCGTCGGTAGGGTGAGCTTCTTCGATATAAATTGTTAAAAAGTCTGCGACGCTTTTGTATTCCTCCACGATCTCACCAAACTCGCGCAATCTTGCCATGAAAACGGGGCATGTGCAACTGCCGAAATTTAACACTAGTGGCCTGCTACCTCGTGCAAAGTCTAGCATTTGGAAATATTTTGTCCCATCCACTGACAACACTGGAGGGTTAGGAGCTGCCCTACCTTCTTGGGCATCTTTGGAAAGGTGACGAAAAAGACAACTTTGGTTTGTTTTGAACATTTTCCATCCAAACAGGTCGTCCCAGTAGTCCTCTTTACGCATATCGATGGTCGCAATCATACGAAATAATTGTACGATTGGCCTTTCCATCCAACTGACCTTGTGCAAAAGTTTCAAAATCCCAAACATTAAAAGCATTAAGGCTGAGCCTGCATAATAAAGAAGCAAAACCTTTGAAGACGCACCCATTGCATACGCTTTGTTCGACGATGGTGCTGCTTGTTGTTCCACGCCTCGAAGGAAATGAGCGTACAGAATGAAGCGTATACAGGTTGTCCATAGCAAAGCATGTTAAGTATGGGCTTTATATGACCTCAACCCCAGTATCCCACAAAGCGTAACATCGTTGCTTTCCATTACGTCACCTCTCTGTAAATAAATACAAGCATGACGGATATTGTCAAACCCTTGGTTTTCCTTCCTCTGGCTTCTCTAGGCAAGACATTTCATCACTTTTACATGAACGTTTATTAAAAACTCTCATCTTTTCACCCTAAATCCATTAACGAGCTGCAACGTGACCGGGCATAGGGGTTTTTTATACCCACCGGCATATTTCTATGTACGGTCGTCCGTGGCATTGGTATATACTATAGGGACTTAGGAAAACTTACAAGTTATCGAAGACAGGTCTTTTGCAAAACATAGTGTGGTGAAGATCTCTCTGCACCACTAAATGCGTGAGCTTCTGCAAATTAAGCACCATTAGGTCGCACTGATCTCTTAACCTACTGCTGACAGTTTGCGCTATATTTCCAAAACATATTACAATAAAAATGTCCGTCAAAAGATTCCAAAGTTTATTTTACCACGACGTTGGTCGTTTTCTAAATAAACAATTTCTTCTAGAAAGGCTTTTTATAGTCAAAGACAATGGACTTTGATACAAAAGACTATGTAAGCACAAGAAAAGGACAAATGTCAAATGATCAAGCTTCCTTTCGCAGAGTCAGATCAGACACCGTCTTACAAGTGAATCTAGTAAAGTTATGTGGTAATGCGGGCGTAATGACCAAATGAGCTGTAATTTGTAGCATATCAGAAAGATTAGGACATTAAGTGTCTCAACCCTTAAGGTCTTTGTTCTCATTACAGAGATTACTTACATTACTAAAGCGTTAGCTATTTTCCGTGATACGCAAATAGTTAAGTTGGTGGTTCTCTTTCCACCGTTTTGGTGCATGGTCGATTTTTTTCTAAAGGATATTTCATGACAATTGATTTTGTATAGGATGGTAGAGTGTTTCTAAACGCGCACATAGATCGCAACTTTGATAAAATCTTTTCAACCCATTTATCAATGTATGTTATCTAAGGTTCCACTTGAGTAGGCCTTGTTGCGTGAGTCCGTGATACCGAATCACTTCAAGTAAATCTCTTATGAAAACATTGGATTGTAATGTCTAATAAAGTCATGCAAATATCATTCAAGAACAATCCACAAATGCATCTATCTAAATGGATTATTTTCTATCCAAATAAGAGGGCGTTGCAAGATTTTGATTTTCTGTTCTCGTAAAATCGCCGTGCGTCAAAGTGAAATTCTTCCTTGTTTCTGATACCATGACAACAGCAAGTCGGAATGTTTGCGCCAGTTATAAGTTGAAATAAAAACAAAGATATGTCCGCCTTACACGTACTTTACTCTCAAACAATCATGGACTTAGATAGCCACCGCAAAGCTGTGTTTTTGAAACTGCACAGTAATTGAAATGGCGCAAAATTCGCGACGGTGCGTTTCATCAGCAGACACTTTTTTATTTCTTGGCGTTCTCAGCCCCCGCAAAAAAAAATCCAAAGTACGATATTCTTGCAACAAAGACAATTTATAGTGCGATGGACAGGGATCAAAACGACACGTTTTTTGGTGAGATAAGTGGCTCCAAGTCGACAGCAAAACATCATGTAGCCATCTACCTTTAGTGCAGTCGCCTGCGGGTCTGTCAATTGTCACCGAAATTTTCATCTGTTTTTATTTGCTTGTCAAATCATAATCTTCAAGTTTTCTGTTTACATATTTCCTTGCTTTTGTTTTTGCATATTTATGTTTTGTATGTATTGCAAGAGTGTTTAAGGAAGGTCTAGTAGTTGGAGAAATCGCGTTGCATGGCTGTTTTGTATCTTATCTTATTGAAGTAATAAAGTTCAAAGGTCATTTCAATAGGTTGTCAGTGATGTTTCATCAGTTTGTCTCAATACAGTTGATCAAGCACAGTCCTTGCCTTACTAAAACACAAGGTCGTACCTGCTGCACGCGAGTAGAACCGAGGAAAGCAATTTATCACTTGAAGTATTCCTTTCGATTAATTCAAATATCAAACAAAGTTTATCAAATTGGATTTTTTTTTTTTTGCAAGCGCAAAATTCTGAAAAATGATGAGTGATTTTCTTGGCTTTTTTAGGTAAATCGTGCATTGTCGTGACTATCTCCTTATGGTTCACATAATGTTGACATAACTATTCCAAGGTCATGGTATTTCAGGCTTTTTAATTTTTGCACAGAACTTCATTGCATACTTTGGACACCGGGATGAAATTCCCGTCTGTTTGTTGTTGTTTTTTTCATGAAAATCATCGAAAAGCTAGATGCAAACTAGAACTTTTAAGTTGCAGACAGCCACAACAGTTTTCTTGCAAACCTTGAATTAGAAAGTGATTTTCATTGGTAAACTATGAAGGCCGGGACAGCACAACCATCACAACAAACATACACTCAATAAATGCACACTCCATTTTTTCTTCAATGTTTTCGTTTACTGGATTTGATCAAGCTATAAATGAATATTGGTAATTGTTTTCTAACCATAGCTAGAGTAGAATGTATGGACACCTATCGTGTGTCAAGTTGTGAAAGGGTTTAGAAGTGGTAAAGTTAAGGCTTCTGTCATCTTTTCGTGGCATGTGCAAATTCCAGGATCTACATCTAGCTCTTGGCCCAAAGTCATCAGAACAGATTCCATGATTGAAAACGTATTCAACAGAAACAAAATGATTTCCCTTTACACATGTCGAAAAAAAATAAAACCCTGGATATACGGTTTCGACTTTTGCAACATAGGTGAGTTTCTTACCACATAAAGATTTTCACTTCACAATGTTTAAGCCCGAACTCAAATAAGTCTACAGTAGTAAGTGCTGAGCGCCGATGATCTAATATTTATCCTAAAAAATATATAATAAATAATAAATAAGGTTTCTAGTGATCGTGTAGCGTGAGTGAATGGATGTTGCAAACAATACATGGGATTATTTCAATCTTGGTGTTCCACGTAGCTAACATTATCACGATATTGCAAATTGCACAACGTTATGAGTTATCTGTGAGCATATGATTATAAATATGTTTGTTCAGCTTCTGTGTGATGGGATCATCGATAGCTGACAGCTGAAAGAGTTGATTCACACATTTGTTGGTATATGCCAAGAATAACTACTTGACGTACAGTACTAGTACTTAACCACCTGTGATGTCGCGAATGTCAATCATAAAACCAGACATTCACTAAATTACACGTCCTCGAGGTCGAATTCTGGAAACCCTAATAAAATATTGGAGCCAGTGATAAGCGACATCCCGTCTGCCTACTACTTTTGTTATTTTGACAACTTGCACGAATCATTCTGTGAATACTTTGGAGCTCATTTGAACAAAAACTTAAAGAACAACAAAATGTGCACACATAGATAATACATTGAACATGATTTTAATGCACTGACATACATTTGTTAAAAGATAAACATTCTATCCATACGAATCAGTATTAATATATCAATGAGGTAAAACCTCACGCAAGCCGATAGGCAGGATACTAGTACCCTATAGGAAGCAATCTAACCCAATTATTAACTACACGGCCCTTCTTTGTGTATTTATGCTATAAGCTACAAGGGATAATGAATTAAATACATTTCACGCGCTTTTGCTTACTGTGGCAATTGACTTTTTCAGGCTACGTGATCTACTGCGAATTGCTCTCTGTGAAGTCATCATAAAAACGATATGGCCTATTGCCCCACTTTTTTTTAGATCAAAATGAGCATTATGCATTGATATCTGTTTTATTTCAATGTGACGTGTTTTATTCGGACTGTAAGGTATCGTGATATACCGTTAAATATTTCTTTATCTAGTCACAAACCATGCACAGCCAAGTCCTTTCATTGATACACAGAGAGTTTATTGTTTACTGTTTTACACAAAGGAAAATACTTGCATGGGGCAAGCGTAATAGTCCAAGACGCTCCCAGGGGTGCGGCTTGCTAGATCAGCCGTGCAATAATCAATGCAAATCTATCACCCTTTTGTGCATATAATGGCATCAATACAAATCCTCTTTGAGGATCAAACATATGTTATTTTGTTATAATGTTTGGTAAATATTGAAGTCGATACTGTACCTCACTATCATATCACTAAATACTGTAATAATTAATAATGATATTATATAATACTGTACTGAAAATGTATTTGTTCCTCGATATTTGCGGCTTCTTCCTTATTGGTGATAGTTCTATTCTGACCTCCTAAACATTATCTACCAAACTATTGCAGTTGTTATTAGGGTCACTTAAGGCACGGTTTTCAAGCCATTTTGCAACTTTGTTAGGCTTGTAAAATGTCGGCCCTACTCCACCGGCGAACTGTATTTTGTCCCCTTGGATAATGTAAAGCCTGTTAGGCATCGCTCCAAATGCTCTGCTAGCATCGTTGCTGAGGCTATCTACCAAGAGCTTTGTCTTTAACTTTCCCGAATCAAGCAGAACTTGCGCAGCTTTGCATCTTTCATCTAGGCTTTTGTGTTGAGGTATGTCGAGGTGGTTATTCTACAAAAACATTATAGAATGAGAAGACGACACCTTTGATCTCTGAATTCAAACGGGATGGAAATGTTTGATTATTCTATCTACACCGCTCTCTCTTGTTGTGATAAAATCATTTTGCGTTTCTCTTTTATGTGGAAACGCCTAGTGGTAATTGTGCGATCGATGAATTACTACATGACTTGCAATACTTCGCCAAAGTAATGTTTATTTACCTTAAGGCTCCACTCGTCCATTGGATGAGCTTCTTCAATGTAGATCGTAAGAAAGTCAGCCACATTACTAAATCTATCAACAATCTCTCCAAATTCACACAGTCTTATCATGAACACAGGACACGTGCAGCTGCCAAAATTTACGACTAGCGGACGATCACCACATGTCCAATCCAGAAGTTTATAAGTCGTGCTTCCGTCTACTGAGACGAGCAAAGGGTTGGGGCTCTTTTGACCTGTCTGCGCTTCTTTTTGGAGCTCTCGGAGGATGATTTTCTGGTAGGTCTTGAACATCTTCATACCAAAAAGGGTTTTCCAGTAGTCCTCTTTGTCCATCTCTATAGTTGCCAAGATCTTCACCAGCTTCTCAATAGCTTTGTCAGTAAAGGGCAACAAGTGAATTACTTTGAAGATCCCAAAAGCGATCAAGAGAATGCAGGAGGCCAAATAGTACGGCAGCAGTACCTTAAGCTGGGTTGCCATCGTCAGTGCGTATGATCGATGCGTAAAGCGTGCACAAGATGACCTAGTTTTTCTGGACGGGTTCTTAACACATGACATCAAGTATTCTAACGATTTGTTTTCTGTAGCTGCTCAGCGCGTTGACCTTTCTTTGCGACGTTGATGATTTCACAGGATGTGTTCTTATACTAAACGGTTGTCATGTATTTAACAGATCAAGTGTTTGCTGAATACCTAGACTAGCTATCATACTATTATTGCGTTGATTTAGATTGTACCGCCAACGCTCCGGCTGAGTCTCCCTGCGGGTAGTAAACACAGTCTTTGAGCAAATTTACCGCTATTGTTCAATTTGCGTATGTTGTACTGACCTTTACAGCGCTCAATGTTTTATCTTGACACGCAAACCCCAATAATAACATGTACCTTGGAAACAAAACTGAGTCAGTCTATTTTTCCTGCTGAACGTTTTTATAAGTCACAAGTATTTCATGGAAGGTGTACATGTAAAGTGTTAGTTCAGTTAAAATTCCGTACAACCTTGAATCAAACTGATTTCTGTGCAGATCTATCAGCTTATGATAAATGTTCTTTTCTTGCTTTCGCTGATTTGCAAGGCCAAATTATGTTAGTTCACATGTCAAGGATTATACCAAGCGTAACCTATCGCTTGTCATCCTCACGCGATATTCTTTGGTTTTCACGCTTAGCACCATTTAGCACTATTAACATTAGTATTTCCGGACTTTAAACACGAAGATTATGTGGGTTTAGTTTGTCTTCAAACTGTTAATGTTAGTGCTCTCTGCACTAGTACAATGTGACCGGAAATTGTTAAGTTTATCCCATTAAATATCAATAGTCTGGGCCCGTTCGTATAGAACTACAGCATAACAACGACACTGAGCTAAAGACTTCATAAATTGATTATAAAAGCATATTGCGAAAAACCTTAATGGGCCTAATGCTTTTGTAGTTAAAATTATTTTCTTTCTTACAATTGTTTATAGAATTACAAGAAGTCACTATCGCAATTTATCATAGCTAATTTTAGGACTTCCATCGCATTTATGTTTATACACTCTCTCTTTTGTACACCCCTCGCAGTCAGCTCGCAATCGGTTTTTTTCGACATGTGTCTGTCTGGGTTTCTAGTGCGTCAAATGTAAATAACGTATTTTGTACCTTGCCAAATATAGATCGCGACAGTATTTGACAAGGAAACAATTCAAACGCATTCACCTCTTCGAGTATTGGTTGTTGATAAACCCTCCAAGAACCAGCATTTTTGTTTGCATGGTTATTATTTATTTTTGACCAAAGAACAATTCTCACTGTTTTAAGTTGAATTGTATTCAAGTTGCCCTTTTTCCAAAAGTTCCCAAAACAGTTATTTTACGGCACATGTCCAGTTCCCTCCCTGCAGATATTTAGCATCTGTGTTCGTTTCGTCATGAGAAGTATCCCAAGGTTGTGGTCAGTGTGAATGACATGCCATCAACGAGGATCTGGAGATATACCTTGACATATCAATCAGCCTCTTATATTGAAGGTCAGCCAATATTGACAGTACACACGTTATCCAGACCAAAGCGATGACAGCATCAACATCACACTTAATCTCTTATTGTAAACACTCGTGTATATAAGCCACTCTGTATCTCTCATGTATCATGCACTGCAAACCACTAGTGGTTTTCCCTGCAAGTTGGGACTAAGCAAATAAGTTTTTAGCTTCAAATAGACTCTCTTTCATCGATTTTGCAATCTCGTGACAGTATTGTTAGACTACCCGGAGACTCAAAGGGTGTATCAGTGGGCTAACTACCCCAAGGCTACATCTGGATACTAATGTTGCGCATTCATGAGGCAAAAGAATGCTGCTATTTATTGGAGAACCCTTTAGGGAGTACAGACCTTATATTGAAAGAATGACAATCTTGACTTGAAAACGCACGCGATTCTGGTAGACGATGATTTATGCTGGATTTACAAACAACTCCGGTAGAGTGATTCGTGTTCCAATGTTATTTGTAAAGCAAGTTTGTAAATAGACGACTTAACATAAAGTGGTTAATATTGAGTTCCTGAAATAGTAAGTGGCCATTCGTGCGGTTTTCAGATCACCCAAATGGCCAATTAAGGTGCAGCCCTGCAGACCATACCTTTCATTTAACTTATTTATAGACTTTATACTCTACTTGGTTTTGGGACCAATTATAGAAATGAGATGAAAGTTTAGGATTATGCTAATAGTTTCACATTCTCTTTTGCATTGTGTTAGCCTCGAATGGATGTAAAATAGGCAAAAATGTAGATAAAACTCGTGAGATCAACTGATCTATTTACATTGTCTGCTATACTCACAGATTTCTTGCATTTGCACGAGCTGTTACTCAATAAAACGAGTATATTACATGGTTCTGAGACTAAAACAGTGGTAAAAGAGATATCTAAAATGGTTTATTTTGACGGCTTGATATACTTTTTTTCTTGTGCATATCATGAATGGAATCACTAATTTCAAAGGATTATACCAACTATATTTTAAAGTGGAAAATCTGTTTGATTTCGACTCCTGATTTCACAATATCCAAAATCAAGCGGATTGACAATAAAATAGTCAGTGTTGTTTTGTAATATCATGAAGTTGTAATGATTTCATGTATTGCTTGCTAGGTGTTATGGTATTTTTTAGTAAGTTTTCATATTTTAGTCCATAAGTTGTCATTTCACGCACATAAAAACCTCACTTTGTTAAAGAAAACATCTCATTAATGCCCCACAACGTCACTAACCTAGCTTATGACAGTTGAACGGCGAACTATACTTCAGAGGAGTAATGTATATGTTGAGATTTTGCTTTTAGCCAATGAATCAACAAAACTCGAGATTACAAGTTTATTGTTTGACAATGTTTATATATTTCTTGCATTTTAATAACGTTTACTTTTAGTCCTGAAGATGAAGGTAAGTTCGAACACGTTTAACAAAAATGTCAAAATCTTTGACCTTCTTGACATGTAAGTTTATTCTGTGAATGAAGTGTTTTTTTTACGTGTCTATATGAGTGTGTCTTTCATTCAATGAGAGTAGGCCTTCTATATGATATCATGGATACTAATTATTTTCGCGTTTAATGATGGCTTATCATTCTTCTGTCATATAGTCAGTGGTATTGAATGGTATTTGTACTGATGAGTATTTCGAGTTTTGTAAGTTTATCTTGTTACTCCAGAGCATGATCAGTTGTCGATTTTTTTCTATAGCGAGGAGTATTTTAAAGAACTACACTTTGCCATGAATTCGAGCAGTAAAACAGCTGCTGTAGGTGGCGTTTGTAAAATGCATGATTCGACCAAGTGATTATTTTTAATTATGGTATCAAAATGTACTGGTTTCATTTATCATCGTGCTGTTCCTTCAGTCTTTTGTCGCACTGCTTCTTCACACCTATCGTGCTTTCACTTTCTGCTTTTCATATCGCAGTCAGTTTCTAACTCTAATGTTAGATAGTGGCTTCATTAAAATTGTGTCAATCACACTACATGATATTTTTTATATACCAAGTTTGTTAGCTTATTCCAGTTGTTATCTACAGGCACTGATCGCGTTCAGCAAATAACAAAAGTCAATAATCATACTTTCATGTACACTCAGATAGGCGAGCGCGCTGAACATCTGCCCTGCATCATCTACATTGGCATAAGGTCTAAAATACATCAATCAATGTACTATTAGCTTAGGAAGGCATATCTTTTAAGGAAACTCATCTTGAAAGTTGCATGATAAGTGTTGTGGTTAGCGAAACAACACAGAGGAAAACGCCTCAGAACTCTTGGAATTCTTTTCTATAAAGGTCTAAAAGGTAAGAACTGTCAATCAAAAGTATGACTTTAAAACTATCGGATTAGAAACTATAGTTCTGTATGATCAGTTAGTGGGATAGGCCAATAGATCATAGGACTCAATCCTGCATTTTGTGAGGAAATTCTGCTAATTTAAAAAGCTTTTGAGCTTTGAAGCACATCACTGGATGTGTCAAAAATGGTGTATAAAATGTTGTATGAATCGGCAACAATGTGTGACAGGTCTCCACGAAAGTGTTTTATGATTTATCCAGAACACCAACAAGCAAGGCGGACAAACGGAAAAATGTTTATTGATTTAGTCAACGAGCATTTGTTGTTTGTCCTGTGGGTTTCGTCTAAACTGAGGGTTTTTGTGTTTCAGTTGTTAAGATGTCTAACGGGACTACATGGAATATTCTGTCAGAAAGAAGTATCTATACAATAGTTTTCGAGACATGTACAGTTGTTATCATCATCATCGTCGCTATTTCAGGTATACATCACAACTGAGCATCATGATTGTAGCATATTTTTCACTAGTAACATAAAAGTGTTTTTTGCTAATCACGCGCTGTAAGCGCACGCAGCTTTTTTCCTCATCAACATATATCTATGAATTTCATATAGGATGATTGATACATCCACCACAAATCTGAATAATTGAGACACAGTTCTCAACCAATGAGTTCCTCGTAGTAAACAATTAGTACATAGTGTTGAACATATCATATTTTTCCAGGTAATGTGATGGTTTGTGCAGCTGTATGGCGAAATCCACGCCTCAGGACAGCATGTAATTATCTCATAGTGTCTCTCGCTGCTACGGATATCGTCTCGTCAGCGTTTCCTTGGAGCATTAGTTTGTGTTTCGTAATAACTGGGAATATATCTTATTTCCTGGATGGGTATGTCAGGCGCAAGCCTTCTTGGCCTTAACGTTGGGTATGTTATCTGTAAGTACGATGACAGAGACTGCAATACATCGGTATGTCACAGTAGTCCATCCTAGACGTAGTCCAAAGAAGAAAACTGTGCTGAAGATCATTATTACTACATGGGTGTTCATATTTTTGTTGCCTCTCCCTTATTTTGCTGATGGAAACACAGCTGTGTTCTATCCAAAAGATCTTTACTGCTTTTTTAACATAAAGAATGTAGACAAGTCCGTCGCTATTGCTACCTTGTTAGGTTTATCTCTTAATCTTCTCTTCATTTCCTTCTGTTATGGAAGAGTTCTCGCAACTGTTCGCAAACACAAGCACAATACTAAAATGACTCTACAAAGAAACCAGCGACGTTTAAGTCCAGAGGAAGGTCGTGTAACTGGAATCCTTGTTGCGGTTGTGCTGGGGTTTGTTTTCTGTTGGGTACCAGTCTACTGTGTATGGATGTTGAATCTGTACGAGATAACTATGCCAAGGCGTGTTCACAAATTTGCGGCATTATTTGCAGCATTAAGCTCGTGTATTAACCCCATCATTTACGGGCTTCTTAACCGGGAGCTCAGAGCAGAGTTCAAGAAGATATTGTCGTGTAAACACTTGTCTTGTCAGTGCAACATTGTGCATCCTACATGAGCACATTTAGCCATCAATAAGTTATATACCGCTACGCAGAACTTCATCCAATCAAATGCCGTGTTTGATAATCACTTTTATGCCGATACAGCATACAATATTGATGAATAAAACATCATTACGTGGCAGAAATAGACAACTTGGATTGGACAAGTCATGAAATGGAAATGAACTTAATGAATAGTTAATTGTTTTGTATCAGGCCCGTAGGCTTGGGGGGTTCCAGTGTTTCTCTTTTTCTATTGTTCTGTTTTAAAATTCTTTTGTTATGAAGTGTTTTTGAGATAGTAATAGCCGACTTGCGAATTACGCATCAATAGTCACATACAAAGGAATCAAGACGAGGCGCCGTGCTTTTTTGTGAAAAATCTATTGTCTTTAGCACGGCGCCTCGTCTTGATTCCTTTGTATGTGACTATTGATGCGTAATTCGCAAGTCGGCTATTTGTATGAACTGCTCATACTAGCAGCCATTTCTTACACAATCTGTGCATTGAATTAATTTAGTCCGCATAAGAAAAAACGAACACCCCTCCCCCCTCCCCCAATTTGTAGCCTACGGGCCTGTGTTTATATTTTGAAGAGTGTTAAAAAACAGCCATATTGCAATTAAATAGCAACTCATAGCTCAAACATGATCATCCCCATTTTGTGTGCGTGTGTTATATAAAAGTACAAATTCACCTTCCACGGAGCGTCCAGGGTTAATTTTAATCTTTTTGATGCATCATGGGTAGTGTCAGTATCATTTTCTCATGGGTAGTGTCAGTATCATTTTCTCATGGGTAGTGTCAGTATCATTTTTTTTTCTCTGACTCTGTCACTGCTATTCAACCTTCTGCGCATGACAAATTAATCACTCAATTTTAACACAGATACGCAAAATAAATTCCTGTTATTAGCGAACACATCTTTTCTAAAATACTCAGCTAACTTAGCCCCTCAGGCCATACTTGAATTATATCAAAACTATTGTCGAAAGTATGGGATATTTTAAGTTCTGCAGTACAACACGTTGTAGGTATAAATAAAAATGTGCTTTTATCCCTTTGTGATCGAGTCGATCACGTAAAAAATGCATTCATATCTTGTTGGGAACCAAAACACCTTTCTTCTAATCACTGAGAATTTGTTTAGAATTACTGACTCTCCACACCAAAGAAAATTCATCGCTTTCCCGTGAGTTGCAAGTTGATAAGTACTATACGACGAATAGTGGATAAAAACATAAGCACAATACTTCATGAACTAAAAAAGTATTATTCGTAAAACATCAACAAATATTAATCAATATAATACTTAGCGGTGATCTACCAGTAGATTCTTTCCATGGAAACACATTGATTGACGTTCAAAAAAGGTTGTTTTGTAGTTTAAATATTTGAGCGAATTCGTGCGTGTACCTGAATCAGAGCGTGAAAATACCCAAATAGTTAACTGCAAAACAATCCGCACAGAATTGACAGCAAAAAATCAAATCTACGTGCGCGGATCAAATAAATAGTGGATGATAAAACGGGGTGCAAAAAAAACAACAATCATTAGACATTTTATTGTGCTTTTTGAGCTGCGTAAGTATTTCAACCTTTTTGTCGATTCATAAAAGAGGACTCTTCGTGACTGAGAGTTATTATATAGAACTTTCATGTGCATTATTTATCCTAACAAGAACTACTTCGTGAAACATACCGTGTCAAGGTTACGTGAATAGAATTTTGCCGTGAAATATATATTTTATCGATTTTATAGATTTTGCGTATCATCTTTTCACATCATTTTTTTTTTATATTTTTATCATTGCAGCGAAAATTTAGCATTCAGATTGCATGATCTTAGATCAAGAAGACGATTATATCCTTATTAATCATATCATTATATTAGCTAAATACTACATATATAAGTGCAGCTTGTCTAAAATATATCCATCTATTTCTTTATTTACACTAAAAATTAAGCATAGCATCAAAAAACAATAGACTCTTATATCATTACGAAAAATGGAACAAACTTCTCCCTTATGTTTCCGGATAAGATAAAATTTTTGTTATGTATATTTATCCCTCCTCCTTTATGTATATTTCTTTTCTTTCGTTTTTTCATTTGTTTTTTCTTTTTTCTTTTTTGTTTCTCTGTTATGTAACCACTTTTTGTAAAATGTAATATTGATATGAAATAAAGATATTATAAATATATGATATAAAAAAAAGAACAACATAACACAAACAATGGAAAACGTCATGACTAATTCATTAGTTGGCGTCACTTCACTTGCATTTTCAATTTTCAAATGTCTATAACTCAGAAAATACAACTCAAAATCTATTTATTTCTTCACGCTTGGTAGCATGTTACCTTTAGAATAAAAGTGATTTTCTGAAAATAGTAACAATGCTTTTAAGATATCGACATTCGCAATCCATGGTTTTGCAACCCCTTGCAACCAGAAAGCAATAATTCAGTCCTTGCCACGCAAAGAACCTCTTTGCGTGGGCAACACGCAAAGAACTCTCTTTGCGTGGGCAAATACAGTGAGGCTCCTCCATATAAGTATCCACCCAACCTTACCACAGTCTTACAGATATCACATCAAGAACGAAGGTAAGTGACAGGAGGAGCCGACGGGGTCTGTTCTTCTAAATAACTTTTCTTTGCGCAAGAGAATCTGTCGTCAAATAAAGCAGCGGTTTTTCGCTATGAATTCGAAACTGGAGTATTTGTTCATGGAAAAGGGATTTTGAGCTACGTTGTTGACAATCTCACAAGCAAATTTGGCGACCTTCCTTCTTTAAAATGATTTTGTTCCTGTTAAAGGTTTTTTAGATCACAAAAGGCTTATATAAGGTTTTTATGGTCAAAAACGGCTTTATTTAGTAAGGAAAGTTATATTTTGACGACAAAAATTCTTAGAAAGCATTCCTTGCCTGGAGAGTTCTTTTTCTTCTCGCTGTACGTTTCGCGTATACAATTCTTATCTTTTCTCTTGCTGCTAAAGAGCGCGAAATAGAAATCGTATACAGCATAAACGCTAACGACAAGATTTTTTACTTCTCTTTTACTTAGACGGCATTATATATAAATTTTAAGTCAACTACATCACGCAATGAAAAAGTGATGAGGACTGCTTCAAAAACATCCTCAAAATCAATAGCCGATTTAGGGTCAAAAAACCTATAAGGTAGAAAGCTCCCTCTGGACAGTCACTATACTGTTGGATTTTGTAGTTTTACGGTCATAAAAAGGGGAAATGTTGAATAAAATTAACTGAAATGTTGTATGGTGTTGGGTGATGACCAAGGATTAAACAGCAACCATTTTATATCTTATCACGCAGAAATCAGATATATTCTTTACAAGAACAAAGCGCGGACTTTAAGGTGTGTAGGTATATAAAAATTAAAATGATCTGGAATGAATCCAAGAAAATATGAGTTTGACACAGGATCCACAATCCTTGTTTATGGTTAAGAACAGAAATAGAATCACGAAAATTACAACGAATATATAATAGTGTTTGAAAACGACGTTTGAACTATTATCAAATGATCATTGTTTATTTTAGATGAATAGCAAGTTGATCGTGATTGTGCTGATGCTGGTTTTGCTAACAACTCTTCATGAAAGGTATGGAAATGTTGCTATTAGCAGTATATCATGATGAACACCGTAATTGGGCGTGGCACTCGATCTTTTTAAACAAAATTATTCTTATTATTCTTATACAAGTGATGCCTGGCGAAGACGAAGAAGAAGTGCGGGGCTGAACAAAATCCCAAGGAGGCCATTTGCAAAGGAAGACGCTAAAGAACACGCTAACAACAGAGCATATGAAGACGAGATTTACAAGGATCTGATGAAGAAAATGGACATTGACTGAATGAAAGGATAGCTAATCAATATGTACTAGTTAACATACAACAACTGTATTCAATCTAATTCTTGAAAGTAAAAAGTGTATGTATGAGAACGTGTTGTACTGCAGAACTTAAAATATACAATACTTTCGACAATAGTTTTGATATAATTCAAGTATATTTTTAGAAAAGATGTGTTCGCTAATAACAGGATTATCTGTGTTAAAATTGAGTGATTAATTTGTCCCGGAGTTACAGCAAAATCTTGCCTCTTTGATATCATATATATAACTAGCTCTACACTTTATGTGTTTTGAGCACTCTTTAATGGGATCAGCCACTTCCTCATACGATTAGTTTTTTTAGTAACTATTCAAATTTCATTTAGCTAGAAGAAGCCAAATTAATATCCCCGTAAGGCGAAATTCTGACTGAAATTCCTAAATACATTTGTATAAGCTAGTCGGTTGTGATTTGCATACCCATGCTCCATAGCAAATCGGACAAAACGTTCGGCTCACAAAGCATTAGCTACCAGCACAGTGGACAAATTCGCACTTTTAAAGGTTGTAATTTTGATGTAAATCAAGTGGCATCGCATCCCATTGCAAATCTGCAACCTGTTCCAGTGAACCGGGCCAGCAATTGTAAAGAAGTTCCACTGTACTGGCTGTATGGAATATTTAAAGTGAAGTTTTGTTTTTTCCATCTTCATTCCATTTGTCATTCAAATACAGCGACATCAGAATGACACTGAGAGCAAAGTGCGAATTCTCCTGTTAAAGGAAGTTTCCCATCTGACTTTTATCGTATTTGTTCATTTTTTATGGGCTAGTGATAGGCATATTAACTATGTGATAAGTTACGGTATAAAGTGTTTTCCAACATCAGCTTCATTGTGGCCCCAATTATAATGGCCGTAGAAATCGTAATCCAAGAAGGCGTAATATCCTCTGATCCTAGAATTGCTACAAGTCACACTAGATTATGTAGAATATCGTTGTTTTTAGTTGCACGAACTTGGGGATTTCTATTATCGGTGAAACTGACTCTAGTCCATTAGTGTTTGAAACTGTTTAGAGCATCAAGTGGAAGATACAACTGTATATTTGCTGACGGTGTAGTGTGTCTTCAATTTGTAATAGAAATGGAGAACATTTGAATACTTTACTTAGGATTTTTAAAAGCAATATATAATAGCCACTGAAACGTTCTGGTTGGCTTCATATTATAATAGTATTTCGGTATTTTTTTGGGAGTCAAACAGAAACGAAAAGTCGTCAGCAGATAATTCCTTCTAACTGACAAAAACTAAAAAGCGGGACTTTCGACTTTCGAAATTTAATCTGACCTTGAACCCCCACTGAGCACCACTGAAATGATGTTCGGATCCTAATCACTCGTAAAGTCCCACCGAACTCCACATTTCTACATTGACATTTTACCGGCAATCCATGAGAATCAAGATTGTATAATATACAAATATTAAGAGTCAACACACTTGTACAGTGAAATATAATCAAAGAAGTAGTAACTATTAGTTTTTATTTATGGACCAATTATACATGAATTATAGATATTACTCATAACCAGAACAATTCGTGAAAACAAAATGCAATACACAAGAGACTTGGAAGCTACCCAACGTCATTAAAAGCCGCAACTAAGAAGGAGGAATTAATTCGTTAAAAAAATGTTCCACCCACAAGGGAAGAAATAAAGAGTTTTTTGTTAAACGCAATATGGAAAGATGTCGGCACGGCCTAGAACTAAATGTATAGGTTTTATGGCAAATCGAGTTAATTAAAAGGCAAAAAGAATGAGAGCTCAGGGCAGAGTTCACTAAGAATATATCACCGTGTAAACACTTGGCTTGTCAGTATAACATTGTGCGCCGCCAATAAGTTATATATCACTACGCAGAACTTCATCCATTCAAATGCCGTGTTTGATAATCACTTTTATGTAGATACAGCATACAATATAGATGAATAAAACATCATTATGCAACAAAAATAAACAACTTCGATTGGAGTTGATCGAGTTGATCTCGTAAAAAATGCCTTCATATCGGGAAGCAAAACAGAGGAGGCAAACGAATGACAAAGGTAGAGAACCAAAATCCTAGTCAAGAATCTCAAGAGATCATTAAAAATTCCGATGTTTTTAAAATAATTATAAGACAATTCGAGAATCATAATAACACGTAATAACAATGCTTTTAAGATATCGACATTTGCAATCCATGGCTTCGCAACCCCTTGCAACCATTAAAGCAATAATTCCTGGGTCGGTACAAAACATGGACCGGGGGTCCATGGACCGCCATCGTGGACCTATCCATGGACTGGTCCATGGACTGGTCCATGGACCAATTTTCGTGGACCACCCTAAAATATAGATATATATTTTTTCATGTTTGTTATTTTAAAGCACTTGTACCAGTTTATAGAGTGCATAAAGTCAGTTGAACTGTGAAATATCAAAAAACATTTGTTATTGTCATATAACAATCAAATAGAGTGCTTGAAAGCAAAGCTAATAGAAATAGGAGCTACTAAATTGTATTTGGTGTACAACTGYTATTTTACATKTCYAMTGACATGTTRATATTGTTAAAGATTGGATGTTTTACTGAGTCTAGCACCATCAGTATATGACTAGGCTATTCTGAATCGATATAAACACACTTTTCTGTTGTCATGTTGATATTGTTAAATATTTTTTTAATGTTTTACTGAGTCTAGCACCATCAGTATATGACTAGGCTTTTCTGAATCGATAACACACTTTTCTGTTGTCATGTTGATATTGTTAAAGATTTTTTKGATGTTTTACTGAGTCTAGCACCATCAGTATATGACTAGGCTTTTCTGAATCGATAACACACTTTTCTGTTGTCATGTTGATATTGAGAACTATTCTGCATATGACTTGGCTTTGTTGATATTAGAACCATATGCAATTGCAGTAAATAAAGGGAAAATCATCGTTGCAAAAGTTTCCAGTTACTCTCCCTGAGTCCCTTCAACAGGACAGTAAAGTACTCAGTTCCAATGACTATTGGTTACACATGGCTCAGTACAGTCTTGAAAGGTCCTTGATCTATGCACTCCTTGATTATTACAAAACTCCAAAAGTCCTTGATTACTAATTTTCCTCGAAAGGTCCTTGAATTTGGAAGAAACGTTCTTGAAAATGACAATTTAGTCTTGGTTGTTGTAAAGTAATGTTTTAGGGATCAATTTAGACTGCAAGCTTTGGAACAAAATGACAAGAATTCAATCGTTTTGGGATGCTTGTTTTTAGTTTTGTCGAATATGGTGGATCCTACTTTGTTTTTGTGCACATGTTAACATGCGAAAAATGAGTATTACACTTTAGGTAGCGAAGTTCTTGAAAATTGAATGTTAATCCTTAAAAAGTCCTTGAAAAATCCTTGGATTCTTTATGAAAAAATCTGTATCCATGTTACTGGTATTATACACAGGAAGCCCAATTGAGAGACTGGGCACTAGTATTGACAAAATAGCGGCTTGTGAAATTGTAAACACGAGTTTCTTCGTACAAGCATCAAAGTACAAGCTCATGGCAAGTGCTTTAAAATAAAAAACATGAAAAAATATATATATTTATATTTTAGGGTGGTCCACGAAAATTGGTCCATGGACCAGTCCATGGATAGGTCCACGATGGCGGTCCATGGACCCCCGGTCCATGTTTTGTACCGACCTATAATTCCTTGCTACTCAAAGAACCTCTTTACGTCTCTAAGACAACTAATTCGGCGCTTTCGCGTAAGTTTATAAGTACTATTCGACGTATAGTGGATAAAAACATAAGCATAATACTTCATGAACTAAAAAAGTATTATTCGTAAAACATCAACAAATATTAATCAATATAATACTTAGCGGTGATCTACTAGTAGATTTTTTCCATGGAAACACATTGATTGACGTTCAAGAAAGGTTGTTTTGCAGTTTAAATATTTGAGCGAATTCGTGCGTGTACCTGAATCAGAGCGTAAAAATACCCAAGTTAGTTAACTGAAAAACAATCCGCACAGAATCGATAGCAAAAATTCATATCTACGTGCACGGATCAAGTAAATAGTGGATGATAATAAAACGCGGCGCAAAAAAACAATTCATTATTAGACATTTTATTGTGCTTTTTGAGCTGGGTAAGTATTTCAATCTTTTTGTCGATTCTTCATAAAAGAGGACTCTTCGTGAAACAAAGAACAAAGAAAGAGAACCAAAATCCTAGACACCCAAGGCACTAAGAGTCTCAAGAGATTCTTAAAGTGCACATGACACCATTAGAAACTCATTCCCATCCAAAAGAAAAAATGCTGCTAGGTACATCTGTGAAGAAAGAATTTTATTTTAAATTGTATTTTCAAAGTTATGGGCAATTGAAACTTAGTAAATGCAAATGAAGTGACGTCTACTACGGAATGATTTATAATAATGTGAGCTCTTTAATCAAGAACAACATAACACAAATGTAAAAAGTCATGACTAATTCCTTAGTTGACGTCACTTCACTTGCATTTTCAATTTTCTATAACTCAGAAAATACAACTCAAAATCTATTTATTTCCTCACAGAAGCCTTCTAGGCAGCATGTTACCTTTAGAATAAAAGTGATTTTCTGAAAATAGTAACAATGCTTTTAAGATATCGACATTCGCAATCCATGGCTTTGCAACCCCTTGCAACCAGAAAGCAATAATTCAGTCCTTGCCACGCAAAGAACCTCTTTGCGTGGGCAACACGCAAAGAACTCTCTTTGCGTGGGCAAATACAGTGAGGCTCCTCCATATAAGTATCCACCCAACCTTACCACAGTCTTACAGATATCACATCAAGAACGAAGGTAAGTGACAGGAGGAGCCGACGGGGTCTGTTCTTCTAAATAACTGTTCTTTTCGAATAGTTTTCTTCCTGGAAAAGGGATTTTGAGCTACGTTGTTGGCAATATCACAAGCAAATTTGGCGCCCTTCCTTCTTTAAAATAATTTTGTTCCTGTTAGGGAAGGTATGTTTATTATTGGGGGGAGCTGGTGTAGGAGAGGGTCATATATCATTTTTGCAAGCTTTAGGGGAGGGTCAAATCTTCACTCGAAAGCTTTTCTAGGGGAGGGCCATCCTAGTTTTTAGGGTTTAGCTAAGAAAAAATGTTGTACCATCGATTATTCATGGACCGATATACTGTATAGGGTTCCAGTGAGTACGCACGTTCCCTTCACAATGAGTATTTCCGTTTTTCTTGCGTCTATGTACCAGCGAAAGAAAACAATACTCTGAGTAAAAATAAACTAGCAAAATATTTGTTGAAACGTCAAAATTTGGCCTCAAACATTTCTCTGGCATTCGAAATTGGTAATATTATAAAACCAATCACATGATAAAAACCTCAGGAGAGCGAAATCAAAGCACAGGGATTCCGGTCAATTTTGCCATAGCTCCTACTACACGTTTGCATGTCCGGGAAATCGATTTACGAAAGATAAAAAGCAAATTACTTTCGAGCATTTTGAGAGTCACTTTTTAGGAAAAAGAAAAAAGGAAAACAGGATGGCTTTTTGCTTTGATCAGTATCGACAGCAAGAAAAAGATTATTGGAAATGCTGAAAAAATATGGGGAATTTCAGCCACCGATCTGTGTGAACTCTTTTTTCATCAAATCTTTATGTGGCTTGTTTTGCTCATCCCATTGGTGGGAATAATAGCTTTTTCTGCAAACTTTGGTATAGCCCGAGACTTATGTGTGTAGGGTGGGGGGAGGGTCATCAGTATTTTTGGACTGACTTTTGAGGGGAGGGTCAAAAGTTTAGTTTTAGAATTACTGGGGAGGGTCACACATTCTTATGGAAAAATTACTCTGAAAACACCAGCCCTCCCCCCCCCCCCCAATAATAAACGTACCTTCCCTTAAAGGTTTTTTAGATCACAAAAGGCTTATATAAGGTTTTTATGGTCAAAAACGGCTTTATTTATTAAGGAAATTTTTATTTTGATGGCAAAAATTCTTATAAAGCATTCCTTGCCTGGAGAGTTCTTTTTTCTTCTCGCTGTACGTTTTGCGTACAATTCTTATCTTTCTCTTGATGCCAAAGAGCGCGAAATAGAAATCGTATACAGCATGAACGCTAACGCCAAGAATTTTTACTTCTCTTTTACTTAAATGCCATTTTTGAATAGAAATTTTAAGGCAATGACATCACGCAAGTGATCAGGAGGAATGCTACAAAAAACGCTCAAAATCAATAGCCGATTTAGGGTCAAAAAACCTATAAGGTAGAAAGCTCTCTCTGAACAGTCACTATACTGTTGGATTTTGTAGTAAAACAAACTGAAATGTTGTATGGTGTTGGGTGATGACCAAGGATTAAACACCAACCATTTTATATCTTATCACACAGAACTGAATCAGATATATTCTTTACAAGAACAAAGCGCGGACTTTAAGGTGTGTAGGTATATAAAAATTAAAATGATCTGGAATCCAAGAAAATATGAGTTTGACACAGGATCCACAATCCTTGTTTATGGTTAAGAACAGAAATAGAATCACGAAAATTACAACGAATATATGATAGTGTTTGAAAACGACTATTATCAAATGATCATTGTTTATTTTAGATGAATAGCAAGTTGATCGTGATTGTGCTGATGCTGGTTTTGCTAACAACTCTTCATGAAAGGTATGGAAATGTTGCTATTAGCAGTATATCATGAGGAACACCGTAATTGGGCGTGGCACTCGATCTTTTTAAACAACTCATACATAATTAATGAGTTATTAGGCCAATAGAATGAGACTATTTGGTCACATGCATGGACCTTTATATCTGATAAAGAATACTAATAAGGGTGACCATTATCAGATGACCCTGGCAAAGGTCTCAGGTTTGAAACCTGATCATTGACCAATGCAGGATGTAAAGCGGTTCTATTATACTTTATGCGTATTCAATGTTGGATGAAAAGGGTGCTTTGTAAAGTGATTCGCGCATGATCAGTTTGCCCCATTTATCTCAGAACATAAGTTGTACGGCAATTTCTCCAATAATTTTAATGGATTGGAGTTTCAAATTAGTGTTGGAGTTTTTGAAGCCGTTTAAAACACGAGAGAGAGAGAGAGTGTTTTATCATATATAAAGATTCGAGCCGAACTTATTCTTATTATTCTTATACAAGTGATGCCTGGCGAAGACGCAGAGCTGGCGGGTTGAGACATTTGAACAAAAATCCAAGGATGCCATTTGCAAAGGAAGACGCTAAAGAAGACGCTAACAACAGAGCATATGAAGACGAGATTCACAAGGATCTGATGAATGAAATGGACATTGACTGAATGAAAGGACAGCTAATTCATATGTACTAGTTAACATACAACAACTGTATTCAATATAATTCTTGAAAGTAAAAAGTGCATGTATGAGATGGGAGTATTTAATCCTTCATTCGCTGCACGATGCGCTGTGCTAGACCTCCTCTTTCTAGAGCAATGCATGATGAGAATGTTAGCCATCTGATGATTCTCGATCCGCGCGAAACTGTCATGATCTGAAACTAAATCTTAGGAATCAGTAGGTAAGAGGACTCAGTCCTAGGAGATTTCCTCGTCCAACTATTTCTTATGGACAGCATGGATTCCTTGATAGTAATATATAGTCGTTATCACTTAACCAGAATAGACAATATATCAGACTCGTAACATGGTATATCTAGGATCTAGTGAGCCCTATTTTTTGGTGAAAATATTGATCCCTGAGCCCGATTCTCATCAAATGTTTGATCCCTGAGCCCGATTCTCACCAATGTTTGATCCCTGAGCCCCTGCAAACATTTTGAGCCCATTTAAGTTGTTTGCTCAAGAATTGCTTTGAATAGTGTTCAAAAGATCTTAGCTAAAACCGAAGGAGGTCTCCTTATACAGTATGACAAAAAAATATACATAATAACACAAGTAGTGTCATGGCTCGAATTAGGAGGAATTGAATCAGGGTCTGAATGGGGTTACCTGTTAACTGAGAAACGGCTAAAATAATAACTGTTAACTGAGAATTTCGGGTTTATCTAGCTGATAACTGATATTAACAAGATAACTGTTAGCTGATATTCCTTTGTTTGCACATGTTTTGCATGCCAGTGAACCTTGTTTCCAGGACTTCTCTGTTGTTGTTGTTGTTGTTGTTGTTGTTTTTCAAAAATGGCGGTCACGTGACACCGACTCTCATTGGATGTTTAGTTTGGAATAACGCTGAATGCAGGCGCCAAAAAAGATGCGACCCCGAAGACAATTCCTTCGCTTTGCATGTGCTACCACACACTCTGGCAGGTATCACCGCTTCGTGCGAACGATCAAAAATGCCTTTTTTCGTTGTTAAGTCACGCAAAATTTCCATAAAATTAATGCATTATGTATGTGTCTTCTCGATTCTCTCAAAATGCTGGAAATCGCATTTCCAAGGATTAAAAATCTAACATTTTCTGGGTGGAATGCCCCCGTACCCCCCTAAAAAGTCGCGCCTTCAGCGCTCATCAGCCTCCCACATAATCAACCGCTCTATCATCGTTATTAATGGTGAAAGTATTAGTTTACTACCATAGAAAAGGGGAGGAGGTACACTTAGAGAGTTATCGGAGTTCCAATATTGACTACAGTGTTCAAAGCTCTGTATTAAAGCTGAAGAACCATTTGGGGAACTTTCTTAGCCTGAAAGAACAATCTTAAAACGTACTTTTCTTAATAACTGAATATTTAGTTGTTAATTATTACACAAAAATAATAATTAACATGTGGCTTAACTGAGAACCGAGAATTTTAACTGATAACTGAGAAAATTGCCAAAAACTTTTTTTACCTCATTTAATGGCAACGCAGGAAAATTTAGAAGAAAAGAAAGACTTAATTTTCAGATATTCCAGAACGACCACGCCACCTAAAGATGGGATCGAACTACCTGACTTCACG